TAAATATTAGTTGTCTATTTTTTTGCAACTTTGGAAAAAACTAAATAATAAGATGAAGTTAACTGATCAAAGTATTCTATAATAGCCATACTCCTATCTGATAATGTGAATGTTACTTTCTTTGTATTACTATTATTATTGCTTAATATTTCGTTGCAGCAATCATCTGATTTTTTTTCTGAATGTATTTATACTCATTTATTCTTTATGAGGTTTTTGTTCTCAGTACTTATATGAATCACTGTTATTGTCATTAAATTTAGCCTTTTTAATTCCATGAAGGCAAAAGTGGGAACCTAATATACACATGTATAAGTAAGAAAAAAAAAACCCTGACTTTGCTCATTTTCAAGAAATATTTGCTATTTTGTATGCCCCATGCTATATTTAGGTACTGAACGTCTCTAATTAATACACCATTCAAGACAAAAGGGGAGAAGGTTAAGTGAGGAGTGTCTCATAGGTACTGTATGTAGTAGAACAAGAAATATTTGGTCTTTATTTCCCATTCCTCTCAAAGGGTCCCCAAATTTTTGGATTTTTCCAAGTGATAAAAGTATCATTTGTTATTATTCATAAAAAGTCACTTTAGGTCACACCTGAGTTTATGCTAATGAGGCAACTTGGAGTGGGACTCCTAGCTCCTGTCAGGATAGGGCTGTTCACCAGATAGACCCAAGAGATTGGAGGGATTAGACAATTGGAACTTTCAGCTCCATCCACTGGCCTCCTGGGAGAGGAGGAAGGCTGCAAATTGAGGTCTATGAAAATTCTTGAACAAGATGACTCAGAGCCTTAATGGGTAGAAAAGAAGGGCTAAGTGCTGAGAGCGTGAAACACTCAGAGAAGGCAGAGAAACGCCAGGGCTGCCGGTCCTTCCAACATTACCTTGATCTGTACACCTCCTCCATGGGCTGCTCCAGAGTTGTGCCCTTTGTAATAAGTGGCTGAACTGTGTTCCTGAGTTCTGTGAGCTGCTCTAGTAAATTATAAAATCCACCGAGCGTGTGGTGCAAATCCCTGAATTTACAGCTGGCCTGTGAGACATGTGGTTCCTGGGACTTTTGAGTGGAGTCCGAAGTAAAGATAGTCTTATGTACCACAATATAAATTATATCACTCTGTGTGTTATTTCAAAGACAGGCAAAAAAAAAAAAAAAAAGGAAAAGAAAAATCCTATAACTAGGATTGACAAGTTTCCTTTTAAAGATTTAAAGTAAGTCCAGCCCCTTTACTTTTTTAAACAAGACTATATTCACAACACTTTTTCTTTTTCCTTAACAATAATGAGGTGGCTGGTCCAAAATTTCAGTGATCTTTATGTGACCTACATGTATTTACTGGGCAACAAAACACTATATTTAATAAGTTGCAATAGAGTTGTAAACTTTTAAATGGTCAAAGGAAATCTTTTTTGGGGGGTTTATTGGCTTCATAAATAATTTCACTGAATAATCTTACCTTACCATTTCCCTGGCCTGTATATAAACATCCTAGCTCCTCTTTACAGGATGATAAATATTAAGCACAAAATAACAAGATTAGAATGCAGTTTATGTTCTGAAAGCAAACCTAATAAAGAGGCAAAAAAAAAAATCCACAGCTAAGGAAAATATACCTTCTGTATTTGAATCATATGTGGATTTTTTTCAGGTTTTTGTTTACATGTTAGGTATTTGAACAAATCCAACTGGCTTCTAAAAAATAAAAACAAATGTAGCCTTTATTACCAACTATTTAACATACCTTTAAATGCAATCCAGGATTGCTTAGGTGAGAATTTTGTCAATCAGAAAACACACCTTCTTAAAGGTAATTCTGACAGCCAGATGGAGTGCTCTGTGATCCTGAGAACCTACTCCCAGAAGATTCTGGCCCTTGGTACAGATGCAGGTATCTAGGGCTGCACAGATTCCCTCAGGGGCTTCCTATAAAAGTCCAGCACTCATGTCCTACACACTGAGCTGCCCCCAAAACACTGCATGTCTAGACTTCTGACTGTGTATTTCTGATCTATAGACGTTTGTACTTAATATTTTTTTCTTTTGCTATATATTTGTTAATTTAACTTTTTTCTGTTATTCCTCTGTGTTTGTCATAGGGGAGCCTTTTCAGTTTATACTCAATCTGTTGTCTTAAAGTAGAAGTTGATATTGTGTGTCTACAACATAGCCATACAAAATAGAAATTTGTATAGTATAATGATTACTCAACTATATCTAGTAGAAAATAGAGGTTTTGCCTACTACTTTTCTATTGGGTTTTTCAAAATTAGGTTAAACATACTTAAATGGCTCATAAACTAAAAATATATTTTTCTGTATTTTGGGTGCATTGAACACGAATGTGTGCTCCTCCAAGTGTGTGATGGGCCACTGTTCTAAGAAACTCCCCTATGTCAGACCCTTTAGGTGGCTCAGATACTATGGAGATTCGTCCAGTCCTCTGCCTGGGTACCAGCAGCTAAATTAGATTACAAGTTGATAAAAATTTATTTAACTCTTTTGTTTTCTCTGTGTCGCATGTTATAGATGGAGTTATTTTCCTCAAATTCATACGTAATACGTGGAAGCCCACATCTCCAACCTGAATTATAAGTCTCTTATAATTATAATAATCTAATTATAATTCTCTAATTATAGGCCGACAAACTGGGAACTAAAGTTAAATGAGACCATAAGAGCTCAGACTTAATGCAGTAAGAAGGGTGCCCTTATAAGAAGAGGGAGGAAAACCAAAGGTCTCTTTCTGTCCTCCAGTGCACGAAAGAATGGCTATGTGAGGACACAGCAAGAAGGTAGCATTCAGCAAACCAGAAAGAGAGCCCTCACCAGAAACCAACCCTGATGGCACCTTGATCACGGACTTCCAGCTTCTAGAACTGTTGAAAATGAAGTTGTATTGTCTAAGATGGCTTGTCTGCAGTGCTTCGTTATGGCATTGAGCCGAATGTGTTCTCACCTGGGACCCTTACCTCTCCCTTCCCCAGGGACTAACCCTCCAGTCTTCTCCTGTAGTGAGGGGGTGGGAGGATTCACCTGGCGGTGCAGAGTGGACAGAGATGGGGTTCCTAACTACATTTTACACAGATTGCCAAGAAATCCTTTTTTAATTCCAATTTTTGTCTTTACTTCTAGAGGTGCCTAATTAGAGTAATTCTCAAGCCTTTGAAGGATCTGCAAGATAAAGCAGGTGGCTTTTCATTTTTTTCCCCATTGGGGGATGAGTTTCCTTTTTTTTTTTTTGAGCCAGAGTCTCACTTTGTCACCCTGGTAGAGTGCGATAGCATCACAGCTCACAGCAACATCAGACTCTTGGGCTCAAGTGATTCTCTTGCCTCAGCCTCCCAAATAGCTGGGACTATAGGCACCTGCCACAACGCCCGGCTATGTTTTGTTTTATTTTTGTACAAAGGCAGTTACCACTTGTCTACCTGCTGGCCAACTCCCCAGATTTTGTTTCTAGCATGTCCTCTGTCATTCCAGTTTGTCCTTCGGGGTTCATATTTTTTTTTAAATGCTTTCTAATTCTATTAAGAGTTCTTTAATGCGATTCAGAATAAACAGTAGCTAAATGTATATATTCAACTCTCCATCAATTGGCAAATGAAGTCTCCTTTGTAATGTGGATTACAATAATTAATTTTGTATTTCTTTGTATTTTACTTGATTATGTATGTACATAGAACTTAATTCTATATTTCTTTTTATCTTCCATTTCTGGGATTCTCATGAGGATTGGCTGGCAGATGTGCTTATCTGCCTGCATGTCCTCCGTGCCAGCCACAAGTCCTGACGTACAGGAGAAGGTCAATAATTATGTTTTTAAACAAACAGGATATTCCTCAGATTTTAATGATTTTCCAGTTGCCATAGTTTTTTCTGCATGTAAGTCTAACTTTCCCTACTCTAAACATTTTTCTCTTTCAACCCAGGTTGGTTTTGTTTTGTGATTATTAGCCAACCTTCATGTGGTATGAAGCAATAAAGATTTGCTTATAGGGGAATGAGGTTTGAAAAATTATTTTGAAAGTTGAGATTTCCTGAAAGCCTTCAAATATTTCCATATAACACCACTCTAATTGCTAAAATACCATTAATTTTTCAGTAGTAAATAGAAGTCACTTTAACAAACACATTAGAGACCAGAATAGCATCAGCTATATTATTTTCAGTAACACCAAGTATAAGTTTAAATCGATCACCAAGGATTAAAGTGAAAGTGACTCAAAACATGATTGGTGTTTTACACCTTTAGCATTTGAAGTTAACTGTTTATTATATAGAAGAACTACAAAAAAAAATTTCAGTTGGCTTTTTTTTATAAATTAACACAATGTATATTTTTTCATGGGGTGATTAAATATTACTTTTAAAGTATACAAGAAAAAATTCACAAATATTTTATTTTTCTGCCAAATAACCTGGTTATATTATTATATGATATCCATTTTGAATGAATAAGTCTAAGTTAAAGGTTTACTCACCCTTTACTAGTCAGGCTCAAAATAGAAAATCAGGATGTTCTTTCATAAGATTTTGACTTTATAACGTATGTTAACTAAATGACAGTATCTTTATAGGTTTTTTTTCCCCCCTCCTTCTCTTGTTTTAAAGACAAGGTCTTACTCTGTCATTCAGGTTAGAGTACAGTGGCATGATCAAAGCTCATTACAGTTTCAAACTCTCAGGAGTGATCCTCCCACCCCAACATCCTATGTTGCTACAACTAAAGCATGAGCTACCATGTCCACGTAAGTGTTAATTTTTTTGTAGACAAGAAGGTCTCTCTATGTTGTGTAGGCTGGTCTTGAACTCTTGGCCTCAAGCTATCCTCCTGCCCCAGCCTTCTAACGTGCTAGGATAACAGGTGTGAGCCCCTGTGCCCAGACCCTCCTGCCCCAGCCTTCTAAAGTGCTAGGATAACAGGTGTGAGCCCCTGTGCCCAGACCCATCTTTATAATTCTTTTAGAAAAAAATTTCACTATGCTCTGTACTTACCTACAATGTCCTTCATAAGTCCTACAATAGTCTCATCTCCTGTTATCCAAGGACGCTTTCCTACTTCATGACCATAGCTTCCCCTGAAATTAAAAAAGAGCATAAATATTTCTTAGCTCTTGTGTGCCTACATGTGATCTTAAAATTTCAGCTTTAGCAAATGAACCTTTCTATGTGGGCTTTTGTAATGTCTTAGTAATTATATGAAAGCATGCTATTTTGAAACCAAAAAAAATGATAGTTGGGTTACACTTGTCTTTTATTTCTTCAATTTTCTTTTTGTTAAGAAAGTGGGGAGGGAGGAGATAGCTCATACACTACTTCAATATTTTGCTGTATTTTAGAGTGTAAGATAGTATTTTTTTCTCAGTTATTTTGAAATTTTCACGATCATTTGAACACTCCACTAGTATGCCTGTAGCATACAGTAATGTGTAGTGTCTGTACTAAAACATAGATACCATATTTTTAGGCTACAGACTAAAAAGATTACAAATTAACTTTTAAAAATATAGCTACAATCTATAAATTTCAGTGTATCAAATGTGACTATATTCATGCTGACATTTTAGGTAAATAATAAAACTTAGCGATAATCGAAGTCAACACTATTTGGCTTGACCTGTTTTCGAGCAATTTTGCCTTCACACTGCAGCTTAATTTTATTATTCTGGTAAATCTCCCAGGAGGCATCATAGAAAAACATAAAATATATAGAGTACTTCAATTCTCCAGAAGTTTCCATCAAATGAGGAAGGAAAATACAGTTGAAAAACATAGAAGAAATTAAAACAAAGGATTAAGGAGCATCTTCAAAGCTCTGAATCTGATAGTTCTGAATTCTTTAGGAATCTAAAAGCTTGATAAACTTGGGAGAAATGAGTATGTGCTTCTGAATGCGTTTAAATCTGTGCTGAAGTCTAATAAACCAGGAAACATGTTCCCAGAGTGGTGGTAAGACTGGAGAATTGGAGGCCTGTCTTTTAGCCTTTGCTGATTTTTATGGTGTGAATACTCCATCGTGGTCCTTGTTAAACAACCAGCAAAAATTCTAAGTGTTTAACAATTTGCTTTCCTCACCAAGCATAAGCCAACTCCAGGCCATTACTGGTTGATTGTGAGAGCGCATGTATTAGCAGCTTATAGGGCTTAATTTTCACATTTATGAGAGTAAACAGATGACAATAAGTACTTAAAGGTCGCCAAGAAAGATAGATGAGATAACATGTAAAAGAGATCGATACCTAGTACCCTTTATTCTGTCTTCTTTCCTAATGTAAATCTAATGCTCAAACTCCCTTCATCAGCAGGTGGTGTATAACACAAGTTTTAAAGTAATATTTTGATTACCATATAAACTAGGATGGAGAAAGAGGACTTTCTTTGAAAATAAACACAGACTGCTAAGAACTAAGGAGGAAGTGAAGGGCAATTGTTAGTTATTATTATTCATAATATTATTAGATAGCCTGCAGCTTGCCTCTTTCTTGATTTCCAATATAAATGCTAAAGACAAAAATCATTATCATTAAATGGTAGTTAAAGGCAGATACTTGGATCCTTTTTTATTTTAATCACATAGAGCTCCACGGCCTTTGCTGATAGCACAATACATCTTATTACATTTAGGTAGTAAAATTCTATGTTCTGCCTCAGAGAATTTATATCTTAGACTATTATGCCACCTAGTCCTCACTCTGGTAGGCATTGTGGTAATAATCTTTAAGAATAGGTTTCTTCCTGCAATGCTCTTGGCATCTCCTTCCCTTTAAAATATCACATACAGAGTCTGCTTCCTCGTTTTGTCAGCCCACTAGCCTGGGGTAGTGAAATGCATTCGAAAGTGTTATACAAATAAACCCGAAGTAAAGTGGCCTGTCATTAGAAGAAGTTGAAATAGATTAAAGTGCAGTTATAAACATATGTATTAGAGTTAAGAAAAATATTATATTGCCCTCATTTAAAACTCCTTAAAATAGTTGCAGCACAGTTGCAATATTCTTTTTACAAATACTGGGAAAGAAAAGAATGCACGGGAGAGAGTTGACTCGCCACTCACTAAGACGGGATAAATCATTGCCATGGGGGGTGGGGGGGTTCTGAGACTTCTGCAAGCAGCATTTACTCATGAAATTAGATTGCAGGATGTAAAATCTAATTAGGAAGTTAATAGAAAATAATTAGGTCTTCTTTAAAGTAGAACCCTGCTTTAACTGTTCTACAAAATGAAGAATGGCCCTGTTTTTAGAACACATCCTTCTTGAAGTAAATAAATAAGATTTCACAGCTTTCCTTAATGATATCACAACTTTCTTTCCATGACTCAGTTGGTGATTAGCCAGCAAAGATGTTGGGGTAAACTTTGTAACATGCCATGCTGATACAGGCTTCCCCATTCATGAATGGGCAGGGATCCTCATTTGCCAGGCTGTACTCTCTGAACACAAACAGGGTGGAGAAAAGCAGCCTGACCAAACGTGTCATCTGGATGGCCCCTTCTGAAGTGAAAACATACACCCTGCTGCTTTGCCTGCCTGGGATTTGCTAATCAACATGGGTAGGATGTTTTCTGTCTGCTGGTTCCTGGCCAAGTGTGACAGATCTTGACCAAGACCAACCCCCTACTCCCCCCCCCAACACACAGAGTACATGAACTTTAGACAAAAGACCCATGCTGTAGGCTTCTCACTTGGGAATCCGCCCCACTGCCAAAGTCTTTGTTACCCTCCTTTGTTACTCTCTCTGTATTTCACTGTAAATAAACTTTGTCCTGTTACTTATTTGAAGGGTCAGGG